GCCTCCCAAAGTGCTGGGATTACAGGCATAAGCCACCATGCCTGGCCTACGTAATTGCTATTTCCAGCCAAGTCAGTGCAATCTGTGACTGCATTCTTGTTCAGTCTTTGTTTCTCTTGAAGTTAATAATTGTCTCTCTTGTTCATTTTCTATGTAGTTATCACTAATCAACCCCCAGTTCTGGGCCAGTTCTCTAAGTCTTATTTTGATATATTTAGATAGGTTAGACTTACATTTAGTTACCTTCCTGTAGAAGTTGCTTCAGAACTTTCTGCCCCATTCCATTTTGGGTTGGCCACCTTCTAATCCTGGGATCTCCCTTTATCATGACCCTGGGGATTCACTTCACCTCAACCCAGCTTGCACAAGAATTCCAAGAACCTTCAGTTTCCTGAAGAAATATGGTTTCCAACCTAGACAAGGAGTCAGTCCGCGTGAGGGTATGGTAGACATTTTCAGACAGGCAAGTCCTCAACAACAACCAACTCCCCTTAAATGCTGCTTTTCCTTGGGAAGTTGCTAGAGGTGTTGCTTCCCTAAAATAAGAGAGTAAGCCCAGAAAGAGGAGGCATCCTGGGAAACCTCACGGGAACGACTCCTGTGCTGCAGGTCCAGTCTAGAAGTCTGGTCTTCGGTGCTGGGGAGTTTTTCTTGAAAAAAAATTTCAATTCGTTTTTCCTGCCATGATCCGTAGTTATTTTTTGGCAGTGAAGAATAAGGGAGTTAAAAACTGAATGAAACTCTAGGTAGGGACAGGATCCTAAAGTCACTGTGTGGTGACTTCGCCAAACTGTCTTTGGGGACAGATGCTGCACATGTCATTGTCTCTTAGGTCTTTATCTTTGTTGCTCACGTCCCCCTGCTTGGTGGATAAAGGCCTGGCTACCAGCATTCTTTAAACTGACCATGTAGGTCACAAGAGGTTGGAGGTGTCCAGGGGCACCTCAGCCCCTTGTGCCAGCCTTGCCCTCCCCTCCTTGTGGCCAGCACACCTCTCTTGCTCTTACAGTGCCAGCCCCAGCCAGGCACCTCCTCAGTTGGAAAGGGCCAGGCTTTCCAGAGCTGGGATGTGATTTTAAATAGGCTTCCTTTCTGGCTCCCAAATTTTTATCACCCCTTTTTCCTTTCCCTCTCTTCCTTAAAGGTTTATGTCCTTTTTACAAAGCTCCTTTTCTATTGTTCTGGTGAGGTTTTAGAAGAGATTAGAAGCCACCGTCTTTACTCAGAAGTCTGTACCAATCTAACTTCATGGGTACCATAACATTGAAAGAACTAATTTGATTGGCCAGGCGTGGTGGCTCACGCCTGTAATCCCAGCACTTTGGAAGGCTGAGGTGGGTGGATCTTGAGGTCAGGAGTTCGAGACCAGCCTGACCAACATGGTGAAACTCCATCTCTGCTAAAAATACAAAAACTAGCTGGGCGTAGTGGTGTGTGCCTGTAATCCCAGCTACTCAGGAGGCTGAGGCAGGAGAATCATTTGAACTGGGGAGGCAGAGATTGCAGTGAGCTGATATTGCACCACTGCACTCCAGCCTGGGAGACAGAGACTCCATCTCAAAAAAAAGAACTAATTTGTTTCAGATGGCAATCATTCTTCATGTATGTTACCATGTTGGAACAAAATAATAATAGGCATCCTACTCAGACAGATATCGTTCTTGGAGGTAGGACTGTGGTACGAACAGTGCTTTAATGTTTTGTGTGTTTTAATGGTAACGTTGAGCATGTGTAGACAGGTGTTTATAGGATGGATCGCTAGCCAGACACTTGTAAGCTCTTATGGAACATTACTAACTATACCTTATCCTGCTTTTTTCCCTTAAGACAGCTGTGAAAACAGACAGACTAGGAAAAAACCCTGAGGGAAGTATTTTTACAGCTGGGTCAGAAGAGGCTTTATTTTATAGTTGTTCATGCAAAGCATACTTGTCTTTGGGCGATGCAATTGATTTAAATTAAGAAAAAAATCTTAATACCAGCCATGTAGTCTTCGTAACATTTTCTCTATTTATTAAATATGATTATTACTTTGATAAATATAGTAAGATGAAAACATTTGCCCTTGGGGTTTTTTAACCTGAAAATGTGTAATAGGCACATAGATTTTCGTTTGAAAATATCCGGATCTTAGGCAATATCACCTATCCCATATTTATAGATAGCTCCAAAATTTACATCGTAGCCTCCTCCTTTCTCCTGAGACATGGCATGTTGTTCCCCGAATCCTTGTGCTCTTCTCCTGGGGCACAGGCAGAGGCAGCCTTAAATGGAGCGTGATTTCTTCCCCCTTACTCCACCCATACACTGTTTCCTAATGCTCAGCAGCGATGGAGCCTAACTCAGTGTCGCCAGCTTTCTAGCTGCTTAAGCTAGATGTTTGAGAGAAGTTTCTAATGCTGTATTTAATTCTCAACCTTCCCATCTCCATAGCTGGATCTGTCAATTCTAATTTATAAGTGTATCTCACAAGTTCCAGCTGCCCTAATTCAGGCCCTGTGTCTTCCGCCAGTTTCTTAAAATGGCTTTTTAGTCTTCTCATGACACTGGCTTCTTACTCAGCAGTCTGTCAGACATCATGCTGCTGCATACTCTTGAAGCACAATTTTGGATTTTTTGTTTGTTTGGTTTTGAGGTTTTCTTGAGACAAGGTTTCTCTGTCACCCAGGCTAGAGTGTATGGCCTGATGTGGGCCCACCACTGCCTTGACTTCCCAGTCTCAAGCAACCCTCCCACTTTAAACCTTCCAGGTAGCTGGGACTACAGGCATGCACTACCACACTTGACTCGTTTTTTGTATTTTGTATAGACAGAGTCTCACCATGTTGCCCACCTGGTCTTGAACTCCTGGCCTCAAGTAGCCCTCCCACCTTGGCTTCCCAAAGTGCTGAGATTGCAGGCGTGAGCCACCACACCTGCTCAGAAGCACAGTTCTGCCATCTGAGAGTCTCGAAGCATACTTCTGTTTATCATCCATCTTCTCCTTCCTCCCTCCTTTCCTCTCTCCCTCCTTCTCCTTTGTTTCTCTTCCTTTTCCTCTTCCTCTTCCTCCTCTGCTTTGCTAGTGGTTTACCCTTATCTCATCAAAATAACAGTCATGCTATTTAACATCTTTTCACAGTATGGCCTGATCAAACAATCGTTTTTCAAATTGCATCATTCTTTTGTCATCAGACTCTTCACCCCTCCCCTGTCAGCTGGAAATGCTATTTCTTCAGATTTCTACCTGTTGAAACCTACTCATCTTTCAAGCCTCCTCCTCCCTGGTGCCACACCCCAGGACCATTCCTGGGGTGTCATTTGCTGGGATTCCTGTTTTTGGTTGTTGTTTTTTTTTTTGTGGGGGCCACTGCCCAAAGCATCAAGTTGATTGTGCTGTTCTCACATTCCAAACCCAACCCCCTCCCCCACTGGGGGACGACAGAGGGAAAGATGACCACTGGTGTGGCATTTTCAGCATTGCTGAGCAGCCTCCAGAAGGGGCCTAGTAGCAAATGTGTTTGTAATGTTTTTTCTTCTTTACTAGATTAGGATCAGGAACCGGATCTTATCTTTCTTTTTCCCTTCCTCGTCTTTCTTGGAAACGATGTTTAATCAGGGAAGACTTGTTGTACTTAATATCTCAGAATTTTAGGTAAGGGTTTATGTGTGTTTAGGTACATACAAATTATAAACAGGCCAATTTCCTTAGTATCTTATGATTTACTCAACTTTTGTATAGGTCTGTCACACAAGTCATACTCAGAACTTAACTGCCTGCAACCTTGTTTACTGTCAGCAGCGGAGAAATAGTAAAGTAGTCTGCTTAGCAGCCAGAGTCCATCACAAACAGGGCAGCTTTTTCCAGCAGCGTTCGGGACTTTTTACTCTGATCGACAGACAATTCTAAGTAAGCCGTTCCATCTGGTTTCCAGACCTATAGCAGAGAAGGATTTAGTCCTAAATGTGTAAGATTACCTGTCATCTACTTAAGTGACCAGGTAAGTTTATAGGACAGTTTAGAAAACCTTCCATTGAAAATGGTGCCAAAAAAAGGAATTTCATGTCAGTTCTGAGCTATCTAAATGGGTCTCAGTAGCCAAAGTTTTCATATCTGAGGGATACATGATATCCTTTGACAACAATAGATGACCTGAGGGAGAATATTGATAAATCCACCCTGTACGGGATGGAAATGTCCCATCTGTTTCCCAGTAACGCAGCTGGGATTGGTAAACTGACACTCCTAGCTTCCCCATCCTGCTTTCTGAGTTACTGACTTTGTATACTTCCTCCCAGTTTTGGAATCTGAAGTTGCAAGAATGGCTTATTTTATAGTAGCTAAAGTTTAAAAGCCCCGTTTTCAGGTACAGTCGTTCATGCCTGTAATCCCAGTACTTTCGGAGGCTGAAGCACAAGAAATTGCTTGAGCCCAGGAATTCAAGACCAGCCTGGGCAACAGAGAGACTCATCTCTACAAAAAATTCAAAATTAGCCTGGTGTGGTAGTGCTCCTGTGGTCCCAGCTAGTTGGGAGGCTGACTGAGGTGGGAAGATCGCTTGAGCCCAGGAGGTTGGGGCTGCAGTGAGCTGGGATTGTGCCACTGCGTTCAGCCCGGGTGACAGAGGGAGACCCTGTCTCTAAAAAATAAATGTTTCAAAAACTTAGGCATTTTCTTGAAAGGTATTTTTTGCATTAAAATGTTAATTGAAGAAATTCTTTGTAATGTTTAGGCATGAAGTTAGCTGAAAGGCTCATTCTTAGCTCATTGTGTGTAATGGCCAAGTGGTATACATCATCTGCTGAGTAGATTCCTAGGTTGTTTTGGTGGTGGAGCTAAAACCTAGGGGCAAGTAGAAAGTTCTGGAAGAAGTTTCATGATGAGTTAATAATTTATGCCTCATGCAGCTTATTAATTTATAATAGAATCAGTGTTTTAAAACCATGTTTCTGGTCAAATCAAAAATTTAAGTTCATCAGATATTAACTTCGATTTTTACATATCTTTTTCCTCCTTATAGAGTCTTCCTAATATTCTCACTGATGATCGATTTAAAGTTATGTTTGAGAACCCTGACTTCCAAGTAGATGAAGAGAGTGAAGAATTCAGGCTTCTGAATCCACTTGTTTCAAAAATTAGCGAAAAAAGGAAGAAGAAACTAAGACTCTTAGAGCAACAGGAACATCGTGAAAAAGTAACGTACTCCTTATCATTTAGAACTTGCTACTGTGTCTTTAATATGATGTTTTCTTTGTACGCTGGAAGAGTCTTTGATTATACTTGAGATGTAATTACATATTAAGTGGTTGACATTGGGCTTAGGAGTATTATCTTATTTAATTAAAGGTATTTCTTCTGATACATGCCGTGGAGCACCTGTCATGCACTCATTAATGGGCCAGTGCTGCTTAAAAGAAACCAAGGGGTCTGTGTTTGACTGGGGAGCTACTCACTATTTTTATTCGCAGGAAGAGGAGGAAGAGCCGGAAGGAAAACCGAGTGATGCAGAAAGTTCAGAGAGTTCAGATGATGAAAAGGCCTGGGTCGAAGAGGTCAGGAAGCAGCGCAGACTCCTCCAGCAGGAGGAAAAAGTGAAGCGGCAGGAGCGACTCAAGGAGGACCAGCAGACAGTCCTAAAGCCCCAGTTTTATGAGATCAAAGCAGGAGAAGAATTTAGAAACTTCAAAGATTCCGCCACAAAGCAGAAACTGATGAAGTGAGTAGCACTGCCTGAGCGTCCAGTTGACATGTGGCCGAGCCCTTGTGTTTCCTCTCTGGAAGATTGCTGTACAGACGCCACTTCTGTCTTTGGATGATGGAGGTGCAGGGGATGGAGAGGACAAGGAAAGGAGGAGGTAAGGCCGTGCGGGAGGTGATGTGAAGGAAGCACCCAGCCGGCCTGAGAAGAGTGTTGCTAGTGAAGTACATTGATCTCCAAGGAGTTTACTTACTTGTAATAACAAGTTTTGAGGTATAGTTTACATGCAGTAAAATATAGGGTATAGATAGGCCTTATGAGAATCAGTAGAAGACTTCTAAGCTGCAGAAGCCACACACTTTCATCCTTGTTTTTTCCCTACGGGGCTCCTTCCCCTACAAATACTTATGCTGTGCCATACAGATCAGTGGTTTGAAACCTTTTGGACAGTGGCAGTTAGGAGATGACTAATTTTCTTTTTTCTTTTTTTATTTTAAAGACTGGGTTTCACCATGTTGGTCAGGCTGGTCTTGAACTCCCGACCTCAGGTGATCTGCTCGTCTTGGCCTCCAAAGTGCTTGGATTACAGGCCGAGATGACTAATTTTCTGCTTCTTCACAAAGTTATTTTAAGAAGTGAGAAGCTCAGTTCTGGGAAGCCCATCTCAGTTTACCTGCTTATTGAAAGAGTTACTTGAAAAATTTGCCAGAAATTTTAAGTCTTTTTCAGGAAAATTAAGAGATCAAAAAGAGTGGTATTCTGGAATAGTCAAATATATAGAGAGAAACAGAAAGTAGAATGGTGGCTGCCAAGTGTTTCATGGGTACAGAGTTTCAGGTTGGATTATGAAGATGTGCTGGCAATAGTTGGTAGCGATGGTACAACAATGTGAATGTACTTTATTGCTGCGGAACTGTCCACTTAAAAATGGTTAAAACGGTAAGTTTTATGTTATAAATATTTACCACCCCTCCAAAAAGATTAACCTTCCCCAAGAAAGGTAGTTTTATTTCCTTTTCAGTAAATAATTTTCAGTTGTCAGGAGTCTGAGTCAGGAACAAGCGAGATGTCAAGACCAAATTGTATATAAACTCTACATTATCCAAGTCTCTGAGAATTTCTAGGCAAACTATCAATGCACAAGATTGGAATATGCTGGACAGTCATAGGAGCTGACTTTTAGAAGAATAGCCTGACTGCCTGGGGAGCCAAGGGAGCAGTCTCCAGGGGGAATACGAGGAGTGGAGAGGATAGGCGAGGTGTTAGGTTGGGCTCAGTACTTTTCTTTACCTGGTACTTCTCCAGTTCCCAGCTCTCCATGCAGGAGAAGGTGTTTTTTCCAAAGTGGGAGGAGGAAAAGCGTGGGAGGACATCAGTGAGCGGGTGGAATTGTTTCTGGGGTTGAGATATGTCTTATTCATCTTTATTTCACCAGCTTCTAGTAAATATCTGTCACACCAGATGTATTGAATCCTTCAATTTAGAATTCAGAAGCATCTCAAAATTCTGGTTCTGGTGAACTAACAAAAGATTTGTCCACAAATAAAGAAGCTAGTAGAGTTGACCCCTGAACAACTTGAGGACTAGCTAGGAGCACCAGCCCCTGCAAAGTCAGAACTATGCGTTTAGCTTCTGTCTGTTTGTTTGTTTTCACTAGAAAGCCTAGAACCTGACACGACAACTTCTGATTTCCCAAAAACTTTACTTTTTTTTTTTTAACCTTCCTGGTGACTTAGAACTTAGAACATCCCCCCAAAATTTACTAATAGCCTATTGGTGACGGGAATTTTTAACAGTCAAGGGTCAATTATCACATATTTTGTATGTTCTATGTATTGTATACTGTACTCATACAATAAGATAAGCTGGAGGAAAAAATGTCATTAAGAAAATCATAAAGAAAGGAAAATATATGTACTATTCATTAGGTGGGGGTGGATTATTATAAAGTATTCATCCTTGTTGTCTTCATGTTGAGGAGAAAGAGAAGGGATCAGTCTTCCTGTCTCAGGTGGCAGAGGTAGAAGAGGAGGAAGTGGAAGGGAGGCGGAAGAGGCAAGTGAACGGTGTTAACTTTTACCGCAAGAACTCTGCGTGTAAGTGGAGCAGTGAGTTCAAACCCACGTTGCTCGAGGGTCAGCTGTAATGTTTTTGGTAACTTCTGAAGATGTTTTCTTTACTGACCAACTCACTTTTTAAAATAACAACTTTCCTGAGATACAATTTATGTAACATACAATTCATCTACTTAAAGCAGGCAGTTCACTGCTTTTCAGTGTATTCAGAGTTGTGTCACCATCACCATACTTTTAGAACATTGTCATCACCCCAGAAAGAAACTCTCCACCTCAGGGGCAGTCACCCCACATTTATTTCGCCCCCCTCATCTCCCATGCCAAACCAGTCACTAGTTTGCTTCTGTGTCTCTAGCTCTGCCTATTCTGGTATCTCCTGTAAGAGGAACTGTACAATATGTGGCCTTTGTGGCTGACTTGTTTCTCTTAGCACAGTGTCTTTAATGTTCATCTGTGTCGTAGCATCTGTCAGTATAGTCAGCCCTCTGTATCTGTGGGTTCCTCACCATAGGTTCAACCAATATGAGTTGAAAATATTCAGAAAAAAATTTGTAACTGTACTGAACATGTACAGACTTTTTTTTGACATTATTCCCTAAGCAATACAGTGTAACAGCTATGCATGTAGCATTTACATTGTATTAGGTATTATAAGTGATCTAGAGATAATTTAACATATAGGGGAGGGTATGCACAGGTTATATGGAAATACACCATTTCATATAACTTGAATATCCGTAGATTTTTGTATCAAAGGGAGGTCCTGGAACCAATTCTCCAGCAGATTCCAAGGGACAACTCTACTCCATTTGTTTTTTTACCAGTTAATATTCCAGTGTCTGTGTGTGTAGACCAGATTATGTATCTCTTCGTTAGCTGATGGACATCTGGGTAGTTTCCACTTTTTGGTCATTACGAATAATGCTGCTGTGAACGTTGGTTATACAGTTTTGCATGTTTTCATTTATGTGCAAGAATTGGAAGAAATTGCTGGTCATATAGGAACTCTGTGTTTAGCCTTTTCAGAAACCGGCAGACTTGGCCAGAGGCTGCGCCAGTTTACATTCCCCAGCAGTGTGTGCAGCTCACTTTGTATACAGCTGTTGTTCATAGGTGTTTTATTTGGAGTCCCGCTCAGAAGCAGAGGGAGTCCTGCTTGTTTGTACTGTTCTGGTTCTGTGGAGTGAATTTATTTGTTGAGTATATGCTGTTCTTGTCTTGCCCTATTTACTGCTTTATCTCTGGCTCTTGAATAAGTACTAGACTGAAGTGGGCACTTGAGAAATACTTGCTGAAAGTGTGAATCTTCTTTGCCTTGACAACCCGTCAGGCAACTCAGAAGTCACTCCTTCAAGATCTGCTGAGAAAGGACTCCCTTTCCCCATAACCATTGACCAGGAAAACGTGGGAGCAGTTGTTTTGAGTGTAACCATGGCCACAGGGGGCTGTGATTTGGGGGTAGGCGGTCTGACTAATCTCTAACATTCCTCCTCCTGCCTGGGGGCAGCAGTAGGATATGGAAGTATAAACAAAGGGGATAAAAATTTAGATCTGAGAATAAACAATAGCGAGGTGAACACACTGCTCTTAAGCATTCTTCCGAAGTTAAATATCACTAAGTTAAACATTCTTCTTGAGAACTATGTAAGCAATAATACTTACAAGAGTATTTAGTGAAACATGATTCTTCAATGAACTAAAGTGACTCTTTATGGTTATTCTGTAAGTTACCGCAAGCCAGTCAACAACAGATAACGTCAGATTGAGTATGTTAAATGTTTCCTTGGACTTGCCCAGCTTTAAAACTGTTTCTATAAAGGGAAAGGTGGATTGTAATTGGTAGCTGGAGACTTGAGTGAGCTGTCTGTATTGCTCGATGTAGTCACATGGCTTTAGGTAAACACATGTGTCTCTTGACACGTATTTTTATGCCTTATAGTGTGCTAACTTTGTGAGTCTATTCATCCACTTATCAGCCTCTCCACCACCCATTCATTGTCAAGTATTTCTCAACTGCCCAGTGCAAGCAGAGCGCCATTCTAGACCAAGGGGATGGAAGAAAGACATGGCCTGTGTGCCTGAAGCACTCATGGGAAAGGAGCAAAGAAGGAAGGGCTGAATTTGTGGAGACTTGAAGTCATAGGGAAACTGGTCTTGGAAAGACCAAGCGGAGGGCTCAGGGCTGGTGGGAAAGAATGCATTTTTGGCAGAGGCAAGCATGGCCACAGGCAGGACACAGGCAGGTTGTGTGAAGGCTGGGGTTGCCCTCCTATAGCCAGAGCACTGGGTGCGTGGAGGGGTGGCTGACCAAGCACTGGAAAGCTATCATCTTACAGCCTAGATGAATGGGATCAAATGTATCCCAACCCCTCCCCCAGTATTATTAATACTTTTATAATAAAAGTACTGCATGATTGTTGTAGCAACTAAAATCACAGCCGTAAAAATTCCTGCTCCCGGAAGCCTGTTAGCAAAATATCTCCATTTTAGAAAGACAATGTGGGGAGAAACTGGTCACCCAGAGACCAGCTCTCAAACTATTAGAATCATCCCAGTTAGAAGGGCCACAGACCCGCATGATGGAGCGGAGAGGAGCAGACAGACCAGAAGACTCAGAGTGAGAAAGAAAAATGGGCACAAACTCCAGCATCAGTTCCTGATGTCCAAGGAGAAGGGAACGGATGATGCTGAGGTGTCTTGTCAATGTTGCTGTCGAGGTAAAAGTACGGAGTACAAAGCAGGTGTAAGGCCAGACGCAGTGAGCCGGGTGTTGTGCACGTTACACAGACGGAGCCCAGGCGTCTTCTCAGTCAGCATTCAGTAAACCAGTGGCAGTGTCCATCGGGCCCATGAAGAGGCAGCTGGAGATGTCACTTTGAGAGCTACCAGCTTTCACTCTGTGCTCCAGATCATGAATGAAAAGAGATGTACTGTAATCATATA